GCCCATGGGCTAAGGGCCCAACTACTAGGGCTATGGCAAGGAGGATTCATGAAGAGTGGGCCCAAGCCCAAGAGAAGCCCATTACTCTGTTTTGTTGGGCTTTGACTCAAGCCTAAGTAGTATAGGGTAGTATAGGATTTGGGCCTTAGAGCCTTGTACTTTCTTTGGGCCTTGTATTTCCGGCCATGTAGTGTAGGATATACATTTAGAGGTCATGTGAATTTAGGGTTATTTAGGTTACATGTGAAGTTACATTAGCATGTAATTAGAAGCACATTTGGTGTGCATTTCGGCCATGTGCAACACATGCACATGGTGTGATCCGAAATGCAACTCAAATGGCTTCTTAATTACATACCAAATGAACTAGCACATGGGTGATCCGGGTTTTGGCACCAAAATTTGAATTTTGAATTCAAATTTTGGGCGCCTAAGGTTAAGTGAACCTTACCTTGGTTCCACTTAACCTTAGACTAACCCAAGGTCACCTTAACCTAATTTTATCCTATAAATCACTATGGCCGAGACTTGTATGATACTTTTGGATTAATTGAATGAGTTTTCATTACTTGAAATCTCCCCCTCCGAAAGTCTCTCACAACCTTGCTCTACCCTACTTGAGCTCCTCTCTTTGTAGAGCTAGGTTGATCATCTTCTTTCGGATTTAGCTTGTTCAAGCTTAGGTCTCATTGGTTCTTCTTGGAGCATCCGTCCTTGTCATTCTTCCAAGGATCCAAGAAGAATTTGAAGGTGTTCATGAGGATTCACTAAGTGGAACCTCATCACAATCTCACTATATAGGGAATGGGTCGTACCCTCGACATCCCATCCCTTCATGATAACAAATATAATAATAACAATTAATACATCAATTTCAAATATTGACACCATCAATACACTCACAAACACATACATAGTAATGCAATGTGGTGTGCACCTACATCTAAATGCATGGGGTACTCGACCATCATCATTGAGAAAGTACAATTGGTACCCAAGTCTCGAGTTAACCTTAGGCTACTAACATAGAAGTGTTCCCTCTAGAACAACAGGTTCCCACCAAAACCATAAAATCATGCAAATATGATGCATGTCACAACCATGCAAATGCTTTTATTAATTACGTCACGATCATCATATCATTCATCGTTCATCAACATCTATATTCATCCACTTCAATTGTCACCTATCCAAATAATAATCATCATTCATAGAGTATACATATACATATATATATATATATATATATACATGTTCATCATCATATAATCAATCATTAACATCATAATATCATCATTTAAAACATCATAAAAGAACCTCCTAAAAATCTACACCATGCTTGGAAACCCACGCCCGACTCTAAATTGAAACAAAGAGCATCCTGATCTTTTCACACTCGGCTTAACAAAGCCACACCCGACTTTAAGTTGAGACAAAAAGCATCTTGATCTTTTCAAGCTCGACTTAACAAATCCATGTTCGACTTTAAGTCGAGACAAAAAGGATCCTGGTTAGGGATGAAAAATAAACTCGTACCCGTCCTAACTTTGACGGGAAATACCTGGTTTGACCGGGTACGGGTAAAACCCGATATGTTAAACCGGGTACAGGTACGAGTACGGGTATATACATACCCGCCCGATACTCGTACTCGTACCCGTCCCCGATTGAATAATATTAAAAAAATTTAATATTTTATTATGTGTAATTATTTATTATAATGTGAAACATTTATAGTTGTTTAATTATTAAGAAATCTCTTGATTAAAATATGAGATAGAAAAACAATTTAATTATAATTAATAATATAATGAAAAAATAATTTAAAAATATTATGTACTTTCTTGTAAAAAATAATGAATAATTTTTTACGGGTACGGGTACAGGTATACCCAATACCCGACGGGGACGAGGATGGGGACAGAAATTACATACCCGACGGGTACGGGTACGAGGATGGGTTTGAGTCGCGGGAACGGGGACGGGTATCATGAAACCCATACCCGACCCGTCTCGTTGCCATCCCTAATCCTGGTCACCTCACACCTGGCATTGACATTTTCATGCCTAGCGCCAGCATGTCTAGGTAGTGCCTTCATGTATGAAGGCACGCTTAGTGTCGAGCACCCGAACCCAGCGTCGTGGGTGATCCAACACCCAAGCCCACCATCATCTCATACAAACATCATGATGAACGATCATATGAAAAGCTAAACAACCAAAACTCATTTTAGTCCAAAAAATTCACTGTTCAATGCGAATTCATCCAATTAAACATCTACGACACTTACCCCTAAAATTCATCAATTCTTTTTCATTAGGGTTCTAACCCCTTTCTATAGAGCACTTAATTAATTACCTTAGAAGAATCGAATCACCAAATAAAATTCATATTCGAAATCTACTTGACAAACTACATCAAATGCACACAAAATTTCATCAAACACAATACTTATGGGATTGGGGACAATCCCTCTACCCTTCATGCATACACTCAATTCCCAGATATGAGTGTTCTCACTCCCCCTTATCTGAAGTGATGAAACGTATCAAATCTAAGCCTCCATCTCCTCTCTGATGATCTCTTCTCCTTACTTTGTAGATGCATTCTCTTCAAAGCACAAGAGCTTCAGAGAACGTGAAGGTAAAAAAAATATCAGTCCTTCATGAACCTTTGTTTATTCATTAAAGTATATCTTCAAACACTTTTCCATTTTTATTATTTTATACACTTATGTTAGTATGTGGGCTAAATGGTGTCACAACCTTCTATAGCGAACACCTAAGTAGTTAAAAATGGTCTAATGATAAATGAGATTAAAACAATAATTTTGAACTAGAGAAATGTATATATATA